TCAAAGATAGCGTGGACCGGGGCCGGGTCCTCAGCTGGAGCAGGTAGGGGGCAGTGGCTGAGGGCGTCTGCGTGAGACAATGTTTTACCTGGACGGTGTATGAGTCTATACGAGTATGCTGCTAGGAAAAGAGTCCACCTCGTCATTCTAGGAGACAGGACTTGAGGGGTCTGTTTGTCACCTGCTAGTAGGCCCAGGAGAGGCTTATGATCCGTGACCAGCTCAAAAAAGTGGCCAAAAAGAAATTCATGGAATTTCTTCACAGCTGCGACAGCTGCTAAAGCTTCCTTATCGATTTGACTATAGTTGCGCTCTGTTGCAGAGAGCGTCCTGGAAAAAAAAGCGATGGGGGCCTCGGAGCCATTGGGGAGCCTGTGGCTTAACACTGCCCCAATTCCAAAAGGGGATGCGTCCGCTGCTAGCACTAATGGAAGGTTGGGGTCAAACTGAATAAGGACCGCCTCCGACGTGAGTAGTGATTTGACTGCACGAAAAGCGGAGTCTTCCTTGTGACCCCCAATGCCAAGCCGATTTTTTATCCAAAAGTCTGTGCAGGGGTTCCGCCACAGATGCTTTATGGGGCAGGAACGATGCGTAAAAATTCAAGAGCCCCAAGAAGGCCTGTAGTTCCGCTTTGGAGGTTGGAGTGGGTGCCTCGTGAATTGCCTTAACCTTGGACTCCAGGGGGTGAATGCCTGAGGCGTCAATTTTATAACCCAGAAAGTCCACCTGTCTAGTGGCAATGGCACATTTTTCTTTTTTTAATTTGAGGCCATGCTGTCTGAACCTCTCTAACACTGCTCGAACTCTCTGGAAGAGTTGGGGTCTGTCCCTAGCCGAGACTAAGATGTCGTCGAAGTAGGGTACTACACCAGGGAGGCCCTGCAAAATCCGCTCCATGAGGGATTGAAAAATGCCCGGGGCAACACTTACGCCAAATTGGAGACGCTTGCACTGGAAAGCACCCCTGTGGGTGACGATGGTCTGTTTGGTTGTCAACAGGGAACTGTTGATACGCTTGAGACATGTCCAATTTGGCAAAAATGCTGCCAGGTTCAAAAGTGTGTAATAAGTGCTGAATGACGGGCACTGGGTAAGCGCTAACTTGTAAAAATTTATTAATTATGGTTTTATAGTCCGAGCAAATTCTCAGGCTACCATCTTTTTTGAGGGGTGTGACAATGGGCGTCTCCCATTTGGCGAAATCTGTTGGCTCAATGACCCCTTGTTTTAATAATTTATCCAGTTCCGCATCTAATTTAGGCCGAATAGCGAATGGGACTCTACGAGGTTTTAGCCTGATTGGGACTGCTTGGGGGTCGACTGAGAATGAGATAGGGGTACCGTTATAGTACCCCAGTTCATTGCTGAATACGTCTGAGTAGTCAGCGAATAAGGAGTCAGTGTCTGAGGTTGAGACAGCATGGACTCCTGTTAACCCTAGGCCGAGATGGGGGAACCAATCAAGCCCCAAGAGTGTGGGTAGGTTGCCGTTAACTACCACTAGAGGTAGGTGGCCTTTGAAAGTTTTAAAATTGACAAGAAACTTGCCTCTGCCGATTACAGGAATGTCCTTCCCCTGGTAGTCCTTCAGGCTAAACTGGCACTTCTGGAGCCGGGTTCTGGATAGATTGGGCTGTAGTCTCTTGATGGTGCTCCAAGAGATAATTGAGAGCGCTGACCCCGTGTCAACCTCCATGCGACATGGTCTACCTTCTAACAAAACGGAGAGAGAAATTTTACTAATGGCATGGCAAGCGTGCTTAGCATGGTGGCGAGTGCGACAGTTCAATACTTGCCTTTGGGGTCCCGAATGTGAAAAGGAGGGGTGCCTTTGTGCCGAGTTGTGAGCGGCCTGGCAGACTCTAGCGATGTGCCCCTTTTTATGGCAAATGTTGCAAGTAGCTCCCTTGAATTTGCAGGTGGTCCTCAGGTGAGATCCACCACAGGATAGGCACAGGGTGATGTGCTTGGGTGGACTGACGCTTTCTTGCTTGGCTCCTACCTGCGGGGGTCTGGCGTGGGCTAGGCGGTGGATGTCGGCTGCATCGCTGGGGTCCTCTTCGATGACCACCTCTTCAGAGTGGACTGAAACTGCACTTTGCTTGGAAGCAGGACCTTGGATTTCGGTGGCTGAGTGTGCTGCCAGCTCTGCTGCCAGGGCTTCCTCGACGGCTTGCGCGAGGTTGAGGTCCTTCTTAGTGAGTAGGCGCCTTTGGAGGTGAAGGTCCTTGACTCCACAGACTAGCTGGTCGAGGAGCATGTCCTCCAGGTAGGTCCCAAACCCACAATGGAGAGCTGCAGTTCTGAGGGCAGCCATGTACTGGTTGATGGTCTCTTTGTCTGATTGCTTCCTCATTCGGAAAGTGAACCGCCTGGCAATCTGTGAGGGTCTAGGAGAATAGTGGTTAGTAAGGATTTCTAACAGTTCTGTCCAGGGAACGTTTTTTAACTCACGTGGAGCCACGAGTGCTGTGGCAGTATCAAAGACGATGGCTCCACAGTAGATCAGGAAATATGATTTTTTCCGGTGCTCCCCTGCATCAGCCAACCCAATTGCGTCGATGTAATGGTTAAAGCGATTCTTGTATGACTCCCACTTCTCCTCATCCGGCTTGAACGCTGGGAAAACCGGGTTGGAGTTCATGATGAAAAAAAAATCAGGTTGGAATAATCTGTTGAGAAAATCTCTCTGGGGCAGCAGCAGGAAGGTTTTTGTGCCTGTGGCAGGCTAGTGACTTCAGCTCTGGAGAGGCTTTTCACAACTCTCTGTCTCTCTCTGGGTTAACACGAGGTTAGGCTGCAACGGTCGTTGGCAGCGTTTTGAAATTCGCGCCTGCGTGGGCGTCAGTGACTTTGTAATACAGCACCGCGCTGTACTTCTAGGGCGGAAATTCAAATGACAGCCGTTTGAATTTCGCGCCTAAAGAAACGAGCGGCTGCGGCTCGCAGCGCTTCACTTTCCCTGTAGCTTGGCTAACAAGCGGCTACAGACGCTTCTCACTCTTGCTGCTTGCTGACCGCTCTCTCTGGCTGCGGATCAGCGTTCGCTCTCGTTTGCCTGCTGATCGTTCTCTCTGGCTGTGGATCAGCGGCTAGTGATTCAGCGGTTGCATTGTGCCTCTGGTCGCCATCCCATCCTCGTTGCCAGTGTTAAGTTCAGGAAATGAGAGGCTGAACCAGGGCATGGATGCAACAAATACTTTATTAGAATAATAAAGGACTGAACGTGCTTGCCAAGCCTGGAACTGGCTCGCAGCGATCAGTGACTGGTTGGACCCCGCAGCCTGCTTTTATAGCTGGCTGCTGGGGAGAACCAACCAATGGGAGAGAGGGCAACCGCCCCCGTATCACGAACGGACCTGGGTGGGAACTTCTTTAAGTTCCAGGGACATAACAGATGAGACTATGTTTTCTCCCCTTGGGTGTTCTTCTGCAAGCTGGACTGATGGACCATCTCAACATGTCATTAATATTGGCAGCTTTCAATCAGATCAAATTGTTATTTTCAATGACAACAGTCTTATTAGGAAAATGCTTGATTAAATTCTCCGCATCTTTACAGGGAATCCTCAACTTACAGCAGTGCATTTTTTTGACCAAAGTTATGTCACTGAAAAAGTGGCATGACCATTTTTCACACTCATGGCCTCTGCTGCATTCCCCTTTGATCATGAGATCAAAATTCAGGTGGTTGGCCACAGATTCTTATTTACAACCATTGCTGAGTCCTAGGATCACATGGTCACCTTTATGGCCTTCTGACTAGCAAAATCAGTGGGGAAGCCAGATTCATTTAACCACCACATTAGTAACTTAACAACTGCAGTGATTCACTTAACAATAAGTGGCAAGAAGGATCATGGGGAAAATTCACTTAACAAATGTCTCACTTAACAGCATAAATGTTGGGCTCAATTGTGGTTGTAAGTAGAGAAGTACCTCTATATATAGCCATGAAACATTTTGCACCTTGATTTACCCTTGCATGCATCTTCTTTTCAGGTTCCATTTCCAGCACAATTTATTAACCCTTTCTTCCCTGGCCAGTAACTCATTATACAACCTGCTAAAATTATTAAATCCATTTTATCTTTATGAATTAACCATGAACTCTGCATGTTGCCTGAAATTTTTGCACACCAAACTTTCAGTTCTGGTGCTTTTCACAGCTCAATAACATACACATGTTCAGGTGTGAAGTGTTATCTCAGTTGGAGCAGGAGGATAAATATCATGTAGAGTTCTGCTCAACTGTCCAAGGTTTAGAGGTTTGGATGGAGGGAAAATGGTGCCAGGGATGTTCTCGTCATAATAAAGGTTGTTTGGTTTGGACTTAGCAGTAGGATTTGTAAGCTCAGCCAGCTGTTCCTTAATCATAAAAACTTGCTGAAAACAAGCATTAGACATAACATATTAAACAAACTCAGCCTATTTGACTGTTTTCACACCTTATGCCACGCCTCCATTTATTAATATGTAGACCAATATCTGCAACTGGCCGGGCTCCCACTAAATAAAAAAAATGTTAGTATAATTGCAAGTGAAACCTTCTTTGTGGCTCTTTTTGTTATCCATAGTTAAGTTTGTTACACAATCATGGTTTATGGTATCAACGCAATTTTGGGTGGTCTTATGACAAGCGATGTTGAAAAATAGTTGCCCATTCGGGTGTCAACATGCCTGTAAACTCGTCCTAGGAAAGCACGCATCTGTGCCACAAGAGAGGAAGCTGTTCAAAGAGACGTAGCCCCTCCTTTCGGCCAAATCTAATGGGTGAGCCATACCCAGTCAAAACCCGATCGCTTGCACTTTGCTTGTGAAATAATAAGAAAAAGCTTTAGAAGAAAGCTTTCCCCGCTAGCAGGGGCTTGGTGGGGCCCAGCGTATCTTTCTGTGAAGCGTTGCCCCTTTAAAGCCCCTAGAGGCGACGTCAGGAAGTGATCCGAGCCGGTTCCCAGTCAAGCCAAGGGAAAGCTTAGCTACGAAGCCGCGAATCTCCAAGATCAAGAGAAAGGGGGACTTGGTATTCCCACCCAGCCTCCGGCTCTAAGCGCCGCCGTAAACAGGTGAGTGAGGGCTGCCAGCTTTTTCTCCTTCTTTCTTTCGGCGCACCCATTCCCCCCTCTCTCTTTCCTTCTCTCCTCTCCCGGCTCTTGTCTTTAATAAAGGGAGTGGAACGGAGCTGTAAGCCACCGTAAGCCTTCCCACGATTTCAGTGTCTGCTGCGTGGACCTCGTCGCCTCCTTTTCTGTCCTTCCCACTCCGACTCATTTCGCTCCTCTCGGCTGGAATGTCCCCTCGCTGTCGCCCCGGTTCTTCCTTTATATTGTGTCATCTCGCCTCTAACCCTAAAGAGAATCTCTTATCTTGAGATTTAGCTCTCGATGGAGATTTACTCCCTCCACCGCAACCTATTTTCCTTCCATTCCTTCTTCTTTCAGATCAGTTTACTCCAAAACCACGCGGATCCTTTTTTTATTATCAATGGGCGGATTTGCCAGAGTATTAGATTATCTCTTTCCTCTCCGATTTTCTTTCAGCCTTGAGTAGCGTTGCTCGTGTGAGGTCTTGGAAGATTCTGTGGTTTCATTTAAATTGTTCGCGGATTTAAGTGTAGTACAAGGTGGAAGGGACCTGAAATGATGAATATAATAATTCCTCCGATTTCTGGTTGGAAAAAGAGGGGTGGAGATGTGTGTTATCCACATCATAGAGAATAGCTGGGTGTTCATGTGACGTATTTAACTATGGTTAATTAAACCACGATGAGGATAAGCCAGATTTCTGGGCTTTCATAACACACTGAATCATAAACAAATTGGATTAGGCGATCAGCATTATTAAGCCAAAATATGGGTAGCCAAGGGTATGGCTTAGTGTATTGTGCAAAATGGCAATCATTGTCTCACTACATGGGTTTAGTTGTAGTGCGATCTGGGATGTGAGTCTACTTTGAATTAAGTCTCAGTGGGAATTGCTTTCAGAGGAATAGGTATCATGCTTTGCAGCTTGTTTCTGACAAGATGATGATGATCCCTTTCAAATCCAGTTGAAAAATGTTCTCTTACTGGGGCATGAATAAATGAACATTTTCTTTTTCCTGGACAAAAGTATTTATTTTTGTGCAGGGAAACCGTAATATGCTTTTAAACCACCCAATCTTCACCACACCTTTTTCTTTAAATTGCTTTGCCTTATTTCATCATAGTGTGATGGTAGACAAAATGGATGGCAGGTCTCACATTATTCAACTCCCTAAATCTCTGCCTTATTCCAGAATATGGCAACAGTGCAGTATTTTAGTGTTTTGCAGCAAATTAACACAAAGTAGGTGATGATCTGCATTTCTGAATTTGAGGTGGATTACCTGTTTGGATAGCTAGGATATCTAATATAACACATGTGTACACACACATACACACACAACTCTTGAGATTTTAGAGATGCTGGAAACCTGTTTAGACTTAATGAGAAAAATAAATTACATTCTATGTTTCCTCTTTTCTCTCAATGTATGTAGCTAGGAGTGTAAAATGCTGTTTTTTAAAAAGAAAAAAAGAAAGGAAGAAAGAAAGAAAGAAAGAGAAAACAGTGCCTAAAAATTAGGAGATATGCTCTTTTTCTTTGTCACTTATGTGGCTGACTTTCTCTCCTCTCCTTATCTTTTGAAGTAGATTGAATTGAGAAAGTAGAACTGAAGTAACCTAATTAGATCCTTGGCTGAGTAAGTATTTGAACCATGAGCTTCTTCACCCAACACAAAAATTCAGGAGTAACCAAGCCTCTAGTCTCCAAGTGTTTTGTATTGCCTTCCCCTGATTCTTGATCAATGACCATGCTGATTTTAGGAATCTATCACATCTGGAATATGCAAAGTTCTCTAGCACTACTTTGAAACTGTATTAAAGTAATTGTTATTGGCTAATGATCAGTCATACACAAGACACGCTGTGCTAAGCTGTGATTTATTTTGCACATTTTTTTAGAGTTTTAAAATTCTATATTTTTTATATTTTATTTTTATTATATAACTCAAAGCAGCTAACGTTCCTAATACTCTTTTCTCCTATTTTCCACCAATTTGCTCAAATCACCCAGCCAGCTTTCATGCCTAAAATGAGACTAGAACTCCCAATCTCCTGGTTTCTAGCTGGATGCCTTATCCACCAAACTGATAATTTACATGTATTGTTAGGGCATAATCTCTATTACTGTATGTCATTGACATAGTCCATTTGAATCAATTTTAGTTTGTGGCATAATAAATTTATACAGAACCAACATCTACATATAATGTATTAGTTATTTGAATGATATCCAGCCAGATGTGCTCTGCCATGGACAATTCTGAACGTTGTGTCACTAAATATTTATTCCAAATTGTACTTATGGCAAAAAGATGAAAGTTGCACAGATTGTATTGTTAGGGGGAAAAAAGCAGATCACATTAACATTGCAGATTCATTTTAAATTTATTTGGCATAATAAAGAAAAAACTGACTCACAAGCATGTGTAAAGTGTCTTTGGCTTGCAGCCAGACCCGCCCCCCCAAAGCCAGTATAATTACTCATTATTAAGGCTTAATTCATAATGATTTATCTGTGTGGATGCACAGTCCATGGATACACATTTTTGCAACCATGAGAGATAGTAAAAAGTGGTTTATCTGTGTGGATGCAGTCCATGGATATACATTTTTGCAACCATGAGAGATAGTAAAAAGTGGTTTATATTGTAAAATGTACACTTTTACATTACCCTATCCCCTAGTCTCAGATTTTTAGTTGCTGAAATAGCTTTTCAGAAGTTCTTCGTATGTGGTGGGGAAAGGAGGCAAGAGGAAAAAAGCAATTTGGTGCTTAAAATTCCAGTAGATAAGAGCATAGCTATATTTAACATTCCTTTTCAGCATCCCAGTTGTAGCCAAATTTTGAAACATACTTGAGATTTTATTTTCAAAATGGCCCTGAATGATGTGCACTTCCTCTTTTTTTTAATCCATCACAGTAAGAAGACTCTTACTGTGTGTGTGTGTGTCTATAAAAATAGAAAGCTACTAACATTGCACTCCATGGAGGCGGAATGCACAGCATATTACATAATATGAAATGTGATGATAGGCTGGTACACCAAAAAGATTAGTGGTCTCCTTGCCCCCCCCCCCCTTGTCATGTGAACTCATTTCTGCATAATGCACAAGTGTGCTGGTTGATAATTTTGAATGGATGTGTCATAATGGTGTTAATTTCCTTGGTCTAGGAGATTAGTGGATGAATAGATTGTGATGGCCTGTGTATGCATGAAAGATATAGAGGATTGTTTTGTGGAAGATTGATGCTTTCCTAAAAGCAACATGAGTGCAAGCTCAAATTCCTACAGCAATCTTTCTGTCCCTTAAACATATTTATTACCCTCAGTCAACCAACCATGACTGCCCAAGGTGTTCATACTGTGAACAGCTGCTCTAAATGATCTCTCTTAATGATCCTTCTACCTGCTGTCAAATAGTGCAAAAAATCTATTGTTACTTATACTATTTGCATACAACCTGTACAGGAAATGCATAAGTACAACCCCTCTCTTGAACAATTCTCAGTTTAAGATTTTTGGGTCTTGGCCTTAAGAATGAGATAGCCATGATTTTCCCTTCTAAATTGTTAAAATTAAAAATATCTTTTGGGATCTAGCTTGCTTTGCATTCAGTGAGGATTTCTGCAATTCTATATAATTTTCTTCTATCACTCTTTCTCAAATAATTATTTTCAATTTTTCCTGAGGACACTCAAAACAGCTTCAAGAGAAATAAAAAAAAACAAGCAAAGTTAAAAAGGTTAAAAACAATAAAGTTAATCATGCAATTTAAAAGGCATAGCTGATGAGGAAAACCTGAAGCTTTGTCTGTAGAAGAGCAAAGAGCAAGGATTAACTCCAGCTACCAGGGAAATTATTTCTATGTCACTCTCTTTCCAGCCTTTCCCCTTCTTCACTGAATGTTTTTCTACTGACCTTTCTGAGCCAAATCATTTTACTTTATTTATACCCCATTGGGAATAGATTGTCATGGGAAAGTAAAAATTTATCTGTGAGGTCACTGATGGCACATAATCAATTCATATACCACATTTCTATCTAATGGGAATCTCATAAGCATTTCCTCCCTTTCACTTTATAAAGTTAAATTGTTTAAAATATTTTCAACCAAAAACATGTTTGTGAATATTACATGTTCCACAATTAGTTTATGAACCCAATATTTCACTGCCATTTTACGGTATGAATTCATTGAATATTTTCTTTCCAGATTCTTCCTCCATCTAAATTGGAATTGAGAATGGAAATTAGAATTCCATTCTGCCTATCTCATACTCCAAAATTTAATGCCAGATTTAGCATTAAAGATTTACTGCTGAATATTTTTTGTTAAAGCAATTCCATAAGAGTTGCTTACTTTGCAACCTTAAAGCTTATGTTAGACTACAATATGCTGTATGAAAACATTTTTATTGTAGCAGCAAAAGCAAGGATTTGATAAGATTGAAAAATGCAGCAGGCAAATAGAAGCTATTCTAATCTTTAAGGAATTTATTGGGCTTTATTCTCCTTGCTTGCCATCCTCCTCCTCTTGCTTTTGAGATTTGTATCTCTAAAGCATCCCCACGTGATTATACAGATGGGAAACATAATTTGTGTCCAACAGTTTTCTGCCTTGGAATCTGTAGTTTCTGTTTGCCTGTATCCAAGATGTGAAAAAATTAGATAATGTTGAAAGCCTAAAAATCGGTCCACGATGCTATTAAATGATCATAAATCATACTGCAAACTTCTGAAATAAGAGGGTGGAATATCAAGAATTGATTGAGCCCCCAGTTCCATTGTATGTTTTATAGGTATGCATTAAATTATGAGTCTTGTTTTCACCCACTGGTTAACTGCTGTAAGTTTTTAGTATAGTTTTTACCCTGGAGTTCCCATCATTTTAGTAATTTGGGTGGGTGGGGAGATCCTGCAGCATTCAATCTATTTCCTGCTAATCTTGCAAAAGCTGCCTTCAATTTTCTGAAAAGGAATGTAGTGGCATAAAATGGCAAGAGAAGCTGCTGGGAATTCTAAAACTCTCTCTTCAGTGTCTGATTCCATGCTGCAGGCAGAACCAGGATTAAAAAGCAAGACTTAGGTGTTTGTTGGGTTTTTTAAAAACAGCCTGGAGTCTAACCAAGCTAACTTGTTAGAGGTGGTTTCTTTTTCTGCATGTAAAATACCAGAAAATAGATATGGCAACCAGAGTAAAAGAAATCTTGGTTTTATGTCCTTGTCTTGCCTCTTCACAATTTAGGCTGGGCTACCAAGAACTTTTATCTGAGTATGTTATTGTTGTTGTTGTTGTTTTGAGTCTTAGATTCTTTTATACAGTTCAGTCTATACTTCCTGTGGGGAAAGGCTACATCTCACCTCTTAATTAGGACTAACTCCATTCCTAATGTATTATTGATTGTCCAATTATTGATTAACTGCAGCTTGTGGGCATGTCAGTTCTCTGACTGATATTTTCCTCCTGTCAGCAGATCTGCTTGAGATTTTTCTTGTGAACTGTCAATGAAGGTTGGACTAATAATGGAGCACATTAGAGGAGTTCAGCCCAATCAGTTCCTTTGTTTACCAGGAAACCATGCAAGAAATATTGGCTAAAACTTTAGCGTTTATAAGAACATCTATATTTTTTCACACATATCCGGTTCATTTGCACCATATCTAGGGATGCATCAAATCATGTTGCATCTCCAGATCTTAGAAAAAGAGACAATTGCTGAAAAGATATTAATATTCAGTATAATTTGGTATTTGTTGGACAAGCTTTGGGAGAATTTGGTTCAAATCCCCATTTAACTATAATTTCACTGGATGACTTGAACCAGTTGCTCTCTGTCAACCTTCACCATCTTCCAGCATTATTGGAAGGAAAAAATAGTACAGGTCTATTGATTAGAAAAAAAGATAAATAATAATTTATGTTTTCTTGCAAATATTTTTCCTAGTGCCTGAGAGTGTGATAGTCTGTGGAAATAGCCTTAGGAGACGGGAGGGAGAGCTGTATACTGGATAACCAGCATGTAGAAGGTGTTTTAGTTCACCCAAAGGGAGGATGGTGTGGGAAACATTTCACTTCCTAGTTTTCTGGACTGTAAAAGCAAAGGAAGGGGAGAAAGAGAAAAAACGTTCAGTCTTGTAAAATTCTGTTAATGTAACTTAACAATAAAGAAAGAGATAGTATTCCTGATTGTGCTTCTTGTCTGGATAACCTCATGGGTTATTGCTAACATCAATCTTGCAGGATTGAAACAGTTTGATTGCTTTGGGGAAATTGAACCAGTTCATCAATCCTTTGGGAAAATACAGTATATTTTTAGTTCTTTGGCAATGACCCTTACAGGAAGCTAGGGACAAAATGAGCAACCTTTCAATCCAGCTGGAAGGATTTGCCTCTAAGAGCTTACATCCCAACTTCTCTGTGTTTCATTACAGCTGTAATTTTTAAAGGCCCATAACAACCAAGACTTCCTTTCTTCTGTCTAGCCTCTATTTAGTGCAATAAATAGTTATACACGGGAGAAAGAAAGATTTGGTTTTTACTAGAACTTAAAACTACAGCTGTAGGGGAATACAATGAAGTTGAGATGAAAGCTCTGTTGAAAACAATAAGACTTATTCCTAAATTAAACGGAATAATATTACACTGTTTATAGTTGGAATATATAAAGTGATAAAGTTTAACACCCTTTTCAGAATAACAATGTTTTTGTTATGTCAGATAATAACATGATTGATTGATTATATACTATTGAGTCATTTTTCATTCCCTCATGATGATTTATCTCTGTTATTTCAAGACTCCCAACAGGGTACTTTTTGCCACTATAACTGAGTCTTTGCTGCTGGTCATCCTCTTCTGCTTCATTGTACTTTTTGTAGTGTGCTAAAGCCTTATTTAAGGAACTACAGTAGATCTTTGTATAATTGACTGGATAATTTGAACCTGGTTACAGTATTTATACCTGGAATGAAAATGCTAAGTTGATTTATTTGATGATCCATTAACATGTTTTCTTAGCTGTCTATAGTATCCTCAGGAGACTTCTCCAAGCCAAAGTTCAAAGGTGTCAATGTTGTTATTGTCCTATTTCTTTTAAGTCCAACTTTTGCTTCCATAGAGTGTCACAGCATGATTGTAATTAGATGCAGCATATCTAATTAGATGCTGAATATCTTTTTTAAGACCTTCAATAGCTCCTCTATCAAGTGTTAGTCGATGATGTATGGCTTATTCCTTTACTATTGATAGTTGATTCTAAAAAGCTACTTTGCTATTTCTGAGGCTGGTGATTCTGATTGTTGTCATTAGTTGGTCTTCTTTATATTTAATTTTAGTCCCATTTTTCTACTGTGTTCTTTTACTAGTACTAGGGCTTGCCAATGCTTTGCATTTTTAACTAACAGCATTGTAATGTCATCAACACAGTGTAGGCTCTTGATGTTTCTTTCTCCAGTTTTAAAACATGCTTATCATTTCCAATTATACAGATAGTCCTCTACATATGAACATAATGGAGCCTGCTCCTTATGTTGTTGTAATGGTCATAAAACAGGTAAATCATGAAAACTGATCAAAACTGAAATGTTGCAAATAACCATAAATGCCACAGTATTGATGTGCGTCTGAAGTTGGGTCACATGATCACAGGGTGGATCTGATTTTCAAACACAGATTGTAAGTCCCTGTTTTTGAGTCAATTGTAACTTCAAATGGTTGCTGTATAATCTTTTAGCATCAATTTGCAAAGAAATGTCAGCATACAGTTCAGTATATGTATGTGAACAATAAACCATATTTATTATCTGTATTATTGAGATCAGAACGTTATGAAGTTTTGAAGAACGTAAGAGAAATTGCTTTTTAAGAATATATTGGCCCCAAAGAATGTGAGATTAGTTAAAAATGATGGTAAAAGCAAAACAAATGAGATCTAGGCAGAAAAGTTCAAATGTTTCAGTCTTACAAGCCTGGCTTTGACTCTCTCTGTGTTTTTTTCCATGCTTGCAATGTTTAATTATGGTTGACAACTCTCTTTTCTTGGATGCAGTCTTCATCATTCATAGCTGCACCCTTGTTTAGTTTTTTAATGTTGAAAATAACTCCACAAATTTGAATGGGGCAGATGGTAGATTACTTCATTTAGGTGGGCTTTTGATAAATCTTGCCAGAATTTGCATATTCTTCATAATTAGGATGAGGAATTTTCAGATTTTTAAAAAATTGAATGTGGGAGAATGTGGGCTGGTGATTCTGATTGTTGTCGTTTGTCTTCTTTATATTTAATTTTAGTCCCATTTTTCTACTATGTTCTTTTACTAGTACTGGCAGAAGATAAGTATCTCCTTAGCTCTTCTTCGTATTCCTCTTTTTATTACCTAAAGAATAAAATGCAAAATAAATAAAAAAAATCTAGTGATGACCATATCTATTATTTATAAATAATCTCTGAACTTGATATGGGGTTTCAGAATTAAGTGGTTGTATGCTACTGTAGGCCATGGGATAAATTTTTGAGACCATCCTTTGAAGAGGTGTTGTTCAATTTCTTCTCTTTCTGTAGGATCACCTCAGATAGTCATAAGAAGAAGAATTAACTATTTGTAATTCTATCACTAAGAAGACTTCTCTAGTTGTCGAAATGCCTGTTGCTTCAACCAACTCTGAGACAGGTAAGAACTTATTCCTATCTCTGATTCATATTTTTCCAGCCTGGTATTTTTCAGAAATCTAAAGCTAAATTTAGAACAAAACTGGAGGGCATGAGGTTGCACTTTCTATGAGATAAAGCAAAGATTTGCAGGTATTTTATACTGCTCCCATAATTTCTTGTCAGTATCAACTGGATTTCCAGGAGTTCAAGTTGGAACTTGCCAGAAAACTACAATGTTCCTAATCTTTAACAAGTTACCCCATTTTCTGCATTTGCCAAAACTCTGACTCACAGGTTGTGTCAATGAACTAGTCACAAACTGTTTTATTTCCAATACTTATTGATGTTCTCTGGTTAGTAACCATAATAAAGACATATGTATGCATATAAACTAATAGATTGGCTGGATTCAGCTAAAAAGTAATCAAATATAACAGATTGTGCAAATGCAGCTGCTAGGTCTTTGACCTGGATAACTGGGTTGCATAAACCCAGCTATTCTGCTTTTACATTTTGCATTAAGATTTTGCTCTTACTCTCTCTTAGTCTTTTTCATCTGGTGAAGGCAGCCAGCCCTAGAACTCACTAGATATTTTGATTTACAATTCCCAATAGATCCAGGGATTAAGGATTGTGAGTATGTTCCTATACATACTAGAGATGACACACAAGATGGCTAGCCCAGCCTGTTGCTTTTTCACTAGGACTAGGGGAGATTTGGTGTTAATGAAGCCCAAGCAATTATAGGAGGTAGTGGGCTGCAGGGATTAAGGTTTTTGACTAGAAGGGAGAGAGGCCTCAGTTCCCAAGTCTAGCCTTTGCCATTGAAAGATTTGAAGCCTCTCTTTCAGCATCTCATAAGTTTGTTGGCTGTGGAGATGATATGTGTATAAGCTACTTTTAGGTCTTGGAGAATAATTACAAATGAAGAGTTTTCTGCAATATTGGATCCATGATTAATTATGCAAACAATCTATGTCTGGATAAACAGAGTGCTGATAAAATTTAACCAGCTTTCTCTGGATCTGCTGCACATTTCATTGCTGACTGCCTTATTCTTTGGATCGAGAGCAGGGTGTCAAACTCAAGGCCCATGGGCTGGATCTGGCCCATGGGCTGGATCCGGCCCATGGTGTGCTTAGATCTGGTCCACAGGGCCATCCTGGAAACAGTGAAGGACTGGCTTGCAGTGCTTCTGCCTGCCTGAGCTCCATTTCTGGCTCCGATAGCCTTCTGCAACCCTCTGCCAGGAAAATGGAGTTTGGGAGGGCTGCACAAGACCCTCCAGAGCTCCGTTTTTGCTGGCAGAGTGCTTGGACCACCACAGGCATCCCTGACACGAATGACATCAAGATAGCAATGCCCATCCTTGCCACACCCACCCTGGCCATATCCACCCAGCCACCATGATGCAGCCCTCAATGAAATCAAGTTTGACACCCCTGATCTTGAAGAGTTTTAGCTCTTCAAGATACCATATTTCCCCCCCTCTCTCTTAATTGTTGCATTGTACGGTAGAATTATTGTTAATTTTTCAGATATACCTGTTTAATCTCAATCTGTTGTCACATGGACACATGCTCAGCTTTGTCCTGGCATTGTTCCCCTTCTTTTTTTAAATTATAGGACAATAATTTGAACTAATAATTAGTTAGAATTCAGCCAAGATATCATAATCTAATGAAAACAACTGTTTCCTGCATTTGACAAGCCTATTTTATGTCCAGAAACTTAAAATGATTTTGAGAGGGAATGGAAACCCAATAAGCCTTCAGCCTGTCTCTGTGCACTATTATATTGGAATTAGGTTACTGGCCATTAGTTTTAAGCCTGGAACAAGATTTGTTTATTAACAAAATATTTCTTTGTCCTTCAGAGATGGGCAGGGTTTTTCCCCCAGATAGTAATAATTAAATCTACATTTCAGTTTCCTAAAAAAATCAGCAAAATAGCTCCAGTTCAGACGCCATTTGTGGAAACCAGATGAAATTTTACAAATTTTTCTTTAAGAGGTAATCAAGCCTCTTTCTAAATGCAATAAGTTGATTGAAGTGGATTGGTTTTGCACCTCCTGAAATAAAATTGAATATTGAAAATAATCCCTCCATAAAAACAATTCCTGATTTTCTACTGATTTTTGAAGAGGAAGAAAATATAGAGGGTTAGACTCAAAAGCCAAAATGATTCTTTCCAGATTTATAATTCTATGAAATTGCTGGTTTTGGTTCTTGTTTATGTCCATACTTATACTGGTTATCTTGTACATGTTTGACAAACAAACAAATAAATAAAGAGTAGCCCACTAGTTGCTTGACTTAACTTGAGAAAGCATCTGAGAAATTTCTGAATTCCTAAGTTTTCTACCCTTTTTTAAACCAGGGTAGAGAACAGGATACCAATAGGTTTCAACATAAGGCATTAGGGAATGCATGAAATAGAAAATGATGTTTTGTTTTAAACCTGAAACAAATTCATCATGTTTTAGAAGGTTTGTCATAGCATATCTCGGTAGGCAGCAGATTGGCGGAAGTTCTTGGCTGCTCCAAGTTTTGCCTTAAACAAATCCTTACAAAGTGTTGGACCATGTCGTTTCTTCCATGCTCCTCTGCTTGGTTTGAATATTGGCCTGCCTGCCCATCTTCCCAGTGCCTTTATTGTCCTATTTCTCTTTAACCCTTTCCATCTCCAGTGTCATTGGTTTTCAATAAAACCTAGAGATAGGCCTCAACGTTCAACTTGGTTGCTTAATGACCATTCAAAATTATGTCAGAACCTCCAGAAGGTATGAGCAGTTTCTGATATCCCCCTCATGGTCATGTAACTGCATTTTGGCCACTTAGCAATCAGCCTGTATTTACAGCTTTTTGAACATTCTGCAGTCATGTGACCCTGAATTTACAAAGTTTTTGCTAAAAGCCCGCGTTCACTTCCAGTTTTCAGCAAAAAAAATAAAAACAACAGCAAATGATGCTTAACAAGCATGGCATTCACTAACATTTGGCATCTCATTTTAGGGCTGTCATAACTTATGACTGCAATGGGCAGGTTCTATTACAGTTGTAAGTTGAGGACTATATCCAGTCAATTCCCATACCTAGCTAGTTTGCCCCCTGTGGTACATTAAAGATAGGCCCACAAAGATCTAACAAAATAAACTAGAAATATAAGTTGTCAAGACTGGATTGTGTCTAGTATGTGTAGATTTCCCTGACATTGTATGGCATACAATGAATGAATGAATCAATCAATCAATTGGCATGGCCATCAGTGCCTTTGTTTTTTTCGTGCCTAATCCAGAAATACATCTTCCAGAGCTGACATGATTTGGTCTAGATGGCCCAAATTTACACGTTTCAGCCTGGTTGTAACCAAAGGTTTGGAAATTGTTCAGTAACCATGAAACTCAAAGAAAGTGGTAACCACCAAGCTATGGCATGGTTTGGAGGTTGCAATAGATCTCTAAGAATTCTCATGGAAACTGATCTGAACTTTCTGGGCTAATGTACAGATTGGTACTTTTCCACCCACACTTTCCAAATGTTCTAATATGTTTCTTCACTAAAAAAAACACAACCCCAAAATTCTGTCAGTCCATCATTGGAGAAAAAAAATATAATAAGGAAAACTTTTCACACAATTTTACAAAAGTCACAGAGAATTATAGAAATAGGACAAACAGATTTACTTAAGATTCTGCAAAATGGATTGACTAATTCAACCGTGCTTTTTGCTTTAAATTGTAGAAAATAAAATTATTAATAATAATGGATGAAAGCAACATAATAAAATAAGTACAAGTGTCAAATTCAGTATGCTTCAGTTAAACCAAAGGATTTGGTTAAAAACAATTATAAAGTCGATATGTTGTTTTAAAAAGACGGGACAAAGATAGGAGAAAATATGAAACTATAAATCATTACATAATTTCATAAAAATCTATTATTTATTTAACTGGATGAGTTGCTTCTCTTATGCTACAATAGCAACAGCACTTAGACTTATATACCACTTCACAGTGCTTTACAGCCTTCTCAAAGCAGTTTATAGAGTCAGCATATTCCCCCCAACAATCTGGGTCCTCAAATAAATCAAAGAAACAGGATCAGATTGCTTGGAAAATCCTCTTTGTTGTCATTTGTTGAATCACAGGGAATCAGGTGGCATGTACATTTAGTATCTTGGTTATTATTATTACTATCTTTGTAAGAGTCCTTATTAGCTTTCAGATATTGAGTAGGGATACTTGTTAAACATCTATGTTGCCTGTTGGCAGGATTGGTCCTTTTAATGTTTGTTTGTTTGGTTTATTGATTTTTGTGCCATCAAGTTGTTTTGCTTCCTATCCTGTTTCTTTGAAATCCATAGGGAATATCATAGCTCGCACAATTCTCATCTTTGTAGGTATGTTGAATAATACTTTTGTTAAAATCAATTGGCTTCATTAGTCTGACAATATGCAACTGTGTGTGGTAAAGATAATTAGCACTTATTTCAGTAACACTCTTGATTACTGTCTTTTCCCTCAGGTATCTCGCAGGATCTGAGCATGTGCATGCATATGTCTCTGAGCAATGCAGTGCCCATTAGCTATACTATAAATAAAAGCTCTAATATTGCCATTTATTTTCCATGTACATACCAAGATGAAATGTATGCTAACTGCAACAATTTTAAAATTACATTGTGAAAGAAACTAGGCAGGATTAGGTATTGAATTAATAACACATTAACATACTTTTTTTTTTTTAACATTTAAATGTTCTCTGTCTCCTCTTTTTTTTTTTTTAAGAACAAGTTTTATTGATTTTTGAAGACATTAACATACTATTAAGAAAACATTAGATCGTAGTAGGGTGAATAATAGATTTATAGAACTGTATTTTGGAGGTCACCGTATCTACCTTCTGCCTCGGAATTTCTAAGTTTGATTTGTCAACAAAAGTTTCCAATCTGGATCATGTTTTTTATTTATGAAATATTTGGACATGAGCTAAGGAATCTGCATTCTAAGAACCGAAC